CCTCCAAGCGCTCTACCTCCTCCAAGACCTCGCACGCTTCTTCCAAGCCCCGCTCTTCCTCCCGCCCCCAGAAGCCCGTTCCGTCCTCCTCCTCGTCTGCTTCCAAGGCCCCGCGCCGCTCGTTGCCGAGTCGCCCGTCCGGCGAGGACTCGCGCGGCCTCTCTTTCGGACCCGTGCAGGTCATTGCGGGCGACGGCTCGTCTCGTTCCTCACGCGCGGCCCCGCCCTCGCGGAGAAGGTCCAAGCTTCGCAGATCCCCCACCCCCGTGCTTACCAGTCTCACGGATCTCACAAACGCACATTTGCAGCAGCTCTCGGGCGTCTGGAGAGAGAAGAACTTGCCCGCATTCGAGTCGGACCGGAAGGCTATTGCCGCCACCCGCTCGGGCAAGCCGGATCCGTTTGACTTCTGAACACTACCGCTTTCTGTCTCCCGTCTGCATTCTTGCTTCTCTTACTACTACTCTTGTCTACCTGCATATCTTCGTGTTGCCTGTAATTTTCACACGTATCTTTCGTCGTTCGTGTATGCTAGCCGTTTACCTTGATGGCTGCCTCCGCAAACAAGTAAAGCACACTGAAGAAAAACCTTGTCCGCCCAACGCTCACCCCTCAGCGAGCTCGTTCGCCCCCCTTGTCGCTGCTCCTGCCACACTCGACGGACCGCCACCAATGTCCTGCCTTTCCGAAACAATAATATTTACCTTCAAATTGATTGGGTTCGACTGTGCCACATGTTTTTTAACTGCTCGCCCACCCCACTCGCACTTGTACTCATGATACTGTACCATTCACTACGAGTACCTCTATCTCTTCCTTTCCCCTCTTACGCGTGTAAAAATCGACGGATACCGCCACTCACTGCACTTATTTACCCATTCTCCTGCAGTACCCTTCCAAGGGTACAGTATCTACAGTACTTCATCTATCCATTGCCTCCACCCTCACACTTCAACACCCTTCTTGTCCAAATTCGACATACACACACGAAATTACGTCGCTTCTCTGTTTTTACCTCTGTTTTTACCTCTGTTTTTACCTCTGCGCTACCAACTTTTCCTCGTCCTCTTTCTCTCTTTTCTCGCCCCATCACCTTTTCAATCGAATCAATGCCGCCGTCTTGTCCACTACAATTTTGCCTTGCGTAGCCGACCATCACGCACCCGTGGAGCACCCGTGGACCTATTTCAAGGAAATCCACGTCGTTCCAGATGGCGCCCTTACTACTGCACTCCCCGCCTCCGCATACCCTCTTTCCTCTTTCCTGCCCGACCTATCTTTATTGTCGTGCAAAACTACACACCACCGAAAACGCCCAAAACAATTATCCACGCTCGCTTCCTTCGAGCCGCCCCACTCCGCACCCAACACGTCGCCCCCACCGCCGACCGTTAAATTCCTCATCCCACTCTGCTGTCCACAAATTGAGAGAGCACCCCGCAGGATGACTGCATCCCCGAAACCCTCTGCCTCCACTCCCCATCTGCCATCCTCGCGGAGCCCGCCTCTCGAGTTCGCCTATGTAAGCGCGCAACACAATTCCAACACCGCCGGTGCCCACATCAGCGCAGACCGCCACCATCCAAAAACTTGTCTCCATCTACACTGCCGCCCTGCAACATTACATACAGTACGTTAGACCCGTTGACGGCACGCGCCCCATGCGCATGCCCCCCGCTCCCTTGCCAACCTGCCGCACCAGAATGGCACAATCACCCGGTGCCTGCGAAGCGACCCCGAGGTGAAAACCGCTGCTGAATGGACTGTGTGGACTCAATTACGTTCTCGAGACCAACCCCGTTTTTGCATGACTTTTTTAACCAGTCGCAGAAAGTTTGTTCGTTCGTGCGCTGGCTACTCCGGGTGCGGCCCCACCCCCCACCCGTCCCCAGCACACAAGATACTTGTAGTCATCGCAAGAATTGGGTATTGGGTGCAGGCAGACTGCCGAGTGCAGGCAGACTGCACACCAGTGCTCCGTGGAAGTAATATCTGGACAGCTTCTGGTGTAGTTTGTGGGAACTGGGGGACGTGGGGGGAGCGCGTGTGCATACTGTATGTGACACGCGGCTACGAAATTTGTCAATTGCGAGTCTCTCATCTATTGTGCATGCTGGCGGGGTCGAAGGACTCTACTTGTTCTTATTCACGCATACTGCAATCAAGGGCATCCGTCCTCTGACATTAGCACCATCCCCTACACATTCCAAGATTTGTTGGACGTCCCTCAAAGTTGGAGTCTTAAACCAATTCTTTTCGAGATTGTATTTATGATGACAGTTGAACAAAAGATCCGTGGAGCAGGTGGATGGAGCTTATTGCACCGCAACATTGCTCTTCGCGGGGCCTTCTTCACACACGCTGCGCATTGTATCAACACGGAATACTCCGTCGCTCGTTCCATTCCGATGCACGGTGAGTGTTGTAAAGTTTATCTCGTGCTAGTAAGGATGAAGAGCACTTGCGAAATGGTTTGATGTTTCTAATGTATATGCCAGTTGGTGTCCAGGGGATCTGCCATGCTGTGGATTCTGGCATGACCGGGGTCTCTATGAATGGGGTCCCTATGAACGGGGTCATGGAAGAAGAATTTATTGCAGGTATGTATTCAAGGAGGTTTGAGCTTTCATCTCTCGAGATCGACTCGAGTATGAAGTGCCGATGTTGTACAAGACATTCTAAATATACCGCATCGCCGTTCCGGACGTGTCAGCCATTTTTGTCCTCTCCAACAAATATTTCGAAACCTTCATCCATCCTTCAGCCAGATACAGTACTGTAGAGCATTAGAAATTTATACAGTGTAGAACTGTTTTGGTGTCGGTATCAATGAACCTCCTCGAACAGAAATGATTCCGAAACAAGGAAAGTCACTGAAACAGGCTTCTTCGTCAAATGCACCAATGTTTGAAACCCTATCTGTCTTTGAGCAAATACCTTGCCAGACGAAGACACGCAGCATAGAAGCAGAAGCATACCAAACCAATCACTATGACATCCCCAGCAACAAGCGCGAACCCCTCATTGCCATCCTTCACGGGACCGTCAATAGCAATAGGGAAGTCGTCGGATAGCATCTGCGATGCGGTTGAGGCGGACGGCATCCGACATACTAGCCGCCTCACTGCTTCTCAAGCTTCCAGCCCACCAGCTCCCAGACAAGTGGAAACGAAGCCGAAAACGGTTGTCGAGCTCCGCAATGTCTGCAAGACGTATCTCATCGGCGAGCACGCCGTCGCGGCCCTGCGAGGTGTATCTCTAACAGTCTCCCGCGGAGAGTTTGTCTTGATATATGGAAAGAGCGGGAGTGGAAAGTCCACCCTTCTCAGCATCATGGGCACAGTAGATCTAGCAACCAAGGGAGACGTGTCTGTGCTCGGGACACGCGTGAGCGCACGCACAAAGGATGACATCCTCGCCCAGCTACGGCTGACGCAAGTGGGTTTCATGTTCCAGTCGTTCAACCTTTTACAGGTGTCAAGCGCGCGGGAGAACGTGCTGCTACCCATGCGTCTTGCGGGGCGACTGGGTTGGCGCGAGCGCGGGCGGCGTGCGGACTACCTGCTCGAGAAAGTGGGGATGGAGGACCGCAAGGGCAGCCGGCCGTCGCAGCTGTCCGGCGGGGAGCAGCAGCGCGTGACGATTGCGAGAGCCCTTGCGAATGAGCCGCAAGTGCTGCTCATGGACGAGCCGACCGGCGACCTGGACGGAGTGAGCGCGGATCGTGTCATGGAAATGCTGGTGGATTTGCATGACGAGGGAAGGACTTTGGTCATGGTGACGCACGATCGCAGGCTCCGGGGACTGGCGGATAGGGTTCTGTATGTGTGTGATGGACTTATTTCACATGAGGAAGTGGTGGCGGAAGAGGTCAAGAGGGGGATAAGGGGTGCGTTGAGGGAGAGGAATGCCAGGCGAAAGTAATGTGTTGTTTTCTAGAGTGTGGATGGGGGGGGGGGGGGGGGGGGG